TTAGACTGTATCATTTTTTTAAAGGAACATAAGCTGTCAAATTCATGTCCATTGACTCGATTCGATGCTCATATATAATTTATAATATATTTAAACGAATATCCTAATTATCAAAAGGCTAAAATTAACAGTTAACAATGCTTAAACTCGATAATATGTATCAGCATTTCGTGTGTATTTCGATTAAGACGTCACCTTATTAACCTTCGAGATAACCACCGAAGACTGCCGACGGTCAAACAACTCGATATAAACATAAATAGAAATGTAAATAGAAAACAAACACGTGTAATTGTTTTTTCTAGGTCTATTTGATTCCACATTATAGGTTAACAAATATGTTAGTCATCGTTTTTTACGTGTATAAGAATGATATTTGATGAATGGAATCAGTCAACCAAAGGGTTCACACTTGTTTCACTTTCAATGTTGAAATTCGTTTCCTTTTAATAGCTGAACACGCTGAGAACATGCATAACCCATATATTGCTTAGGGGTTTAATGGGTTATACATGAATACGTGTTCAATGAGGTTAAATTATTGACTAATACATCAATAATACATCAGCTATGTTTTGAGTTTATTTTGACAAATTTGCTTGTAACGAAATACAACAACAAGATTCCGCTTTTATTGATAATTGAAACAAAATGAATCGTTTTAAAAATTGTTGTTTCAATCGTACCTTATGTCTGCCTCATATCTTGACTTACATCTAGAAATCGACAATGAGGGTCAGTTGAAAACAAAACTTTACGACAAAAGAGATGATTTCAGCTTTCCAATTGTAAACTATCCATTTCTATGTAGCAACATTCCAGCAGGTCCTGGCAATGAATATTTATAAACATAGAGTACTGCAGCGTTTCCATGGTTAAGTAAATTTACAAATAAGCTAACATTTACTGCTTGTTCACATTGGTCAAAGTAACGTGGTACTGAGTGTTATGAGTCGAACTTTAAATTCGCGGTTTGTGGGTGCCTTGTTCGTCTAAAGTTACATATGAAACACCCATAAAATTTAAGTCTCATTACTTTTCATAATACTGTATTCATACTTGCATTTGTGAGTTCTGAAATGACACCTTTTTAAAAATTATTTTTAATTTAGAAATGTGTCTCCCCCATACACTGTTTTTTCATTGTCTGGGTATTGTTTGAATTTGGTCATTTTTGATTTTATCAGCTCTTCACGTTTGAATAGAATTTGAAAAAAAAACTGCAATACAAGGCTAAGTCATGTGGCCTATTGAGAAAGCAGTTTACAAAAATCATAGGACATGGATGAAGGAAAAACAAGTAAAACTACATTCCACGGCCTTATGTTGGCTTTTTGTGTACTCAAGGCAAGCAAAAAAAGTCAATTTTGGAGGACGGTGATTGGATTTTAGGGTAGATTTATTTATGAACACCTGCAACGAGTATATTTACAAAATAGATTTTGAAACATATTTTGAAATATTTCTTGACAAAAGAAATGATTCCAAAGGTTCATAAATAAAGGCAATAGTAGTATACCGCTGTTTGAAAGTCATAAATCGATTGATTACAAATTAAAACCGAGGGAACACATCAACTATAAGAGGAAAACAATGAAACAACAGAAACACTGAAGTGCAACAAAAAACAAACGACAATGCAACACACACAGAAACGAACTATAAGATAACAACTGCCATTTTCCTGACTTGGTACAGGACATTTAAAAAAAAAAATGGTGGGTTGAACCTGGTTTTGTGCTAGCCTAACCTCGCACTTTTTAGCAATGTTAAATATTACACTTGAAGAAAAATGAGTGACCATGGGTACTTTATACAAGCTCCGTGCAAAGATGATCATGACTTGACTGACTTCAATTTCTTTAACCGAATTATAAAATAATTATAGCACTCAATAAAATTGAGAATGGAAATGTGCGATATGTCAAAGAGACAACAACCCGACCAAAGAGCAGATAACAGTCGAAGGCCCCCATAACGGATTTATCGAGATTTTTATTATATGAAATGATCAATTTAGAATATTTTAGAATGTCGCCTATGGTGGAACTAATACTTATTATTGGAAATAAAAATCAATCATATTTCAGTTATATTGCACTATTTTTAAATTTCAGACTAGTACATTTTTTTAAAAACTAAGAATACAAATTATTCACCGAGACCAACATTGTTTATCAGAAAAGTACTCATGATAAGTCTAAATCAAAGGTACTGATATAAACATGATTCTAGGAGTCCAATAGGGGGTAAATTACAAAAATGCACCAAAGTCTAGTATTTGTTGTAATCTTTCACAATGATTGATTCAAATTGAAACACCAGAATTCATGTCGTGACAATGTTTTTGGAATATTTGCCTTTTGGCTGCGTAATGCCCTAAATATATCACTCGGGTATTTCACAGAATATAAGCTACCAAAATTTGAAACTGTTTGGATTAGTTTGCACCATTGATGAAGTAAGTCAGTCGTCTGACAAAATATAAACATTTCAGTGTTAAAGCTGTATATCAAAGGATTAACGTTCTAGTAGAGCCAAAATTCAGATAGAACTTAAATTCCCAGTGAAAAAAAAATCACATTCATAGCAATTCACTCAGCAAATATTCTTATTGTGCTTCTTTTTATCTTTTATTTAATGTATCTATGTTTTCATATTCCACTTTTTGATAGGACTATTTCTTTGAAATTAATAATCTCAAGGGATATAATTCAGCTCTTTCTAGATGAAGACAGGCAACAAAGGCAACTTTTCAGCTTTGGTTTTTCCATATTGAATGGTTAACGGTTTGAACATCTTTGTATTGATCATCTTAAGACAGAATAATTGATTTTATAATAATCTCTGAAGATTAAGACCAAAATATCACGTATACTAAAGCATTGACTGCAATTAGTAAGAAAAATCTAGATATTGTGTTTATGTTGTCAATTTTCGATAACATGAATACAATTTAAATTAAACATGGAAATTTATCTGTTAAAATGGTACAGTTTGCAACTTTTTTTATCAATAAAATAAGAAGTGATTGGATACAGGTATTTTATCATACCTAATTTGATAGAATAGTAAGAGGTTTACAAGCATGTAGGGGTAGAGACATAAAATGATCCTTGTTTCTATAAATAAAAGATAAAAAAATTAAAGACAAGTATTCCTTATAGCAATTTGTTTCACAATAATTCAGCTTTGCATTGAAGGTATGCATCATACCATAAATTTTTTTGTCAAGAAATAGCGGAAAATATTATTTTACATTTTCACGTTTTTAGGTTGGCCTTTTGCATGTTTTGTGTACTCAGATGAAGTTTTAAGTCAACTTTGGAGCGCTGTGAATGGATGAAAGGATTTTACGACCTTTTTTAAAGTTCGTTTATGAATAACTGCATTTACATAACATATCATAACATTTACAAAAAAAATTGTGAAAGACATAGACATATTTTCTTGAGAAGAATTCGATAATGCTTTCAAATTTTCATCAATTTGATTTAAATGACGGTAGCTATGATTACTATTAACAAACCCCGTTCGAAGATGGTAATGCAGCTTTTTACTTCAATTTATAAAACAAAATAACAAAAGCAATATCACACATAACTGTTTGATTATAAAAAGTGGTAAATTTTAAAATGTTAGTATTGTCGCCTTTGGATAACTGCTATAGTCTCACCTAAAAACGACAATAGCTCACCGATTAGTCCTGTAAATGTTAAAGAATGAGCAAAACACATTCCGTGAATTAAAGCTATAAAAGGCAACGAAATTTTAAAATCAATGAAAATATGAATTTTTAACTTGACAAATCACATACATGTATTTTGTTTAAAACAAAGTAAAAAATGTTACCACTTGTAACTGCAATTATAAAGGATAAGTAAGGAACAAACAAAAGAAGACTTTAAGTAGATCACTAAACTTGTTACTATGTGGATTGAAAAAGTGAATCAGTACCGATTGAATCAAACTCTTTGAAATTAAAAGTAATGATTATTATAATAATAAGTAGTACACAAGATAATTAATAGCATTAAAAGTTAAAAACAGAAGAGGTGTTTAATATTTTGCAGAATTAAATACAGAACCCATAATTTGTGAAAAAAACAAAGACTACCGAATCAAGTTCTTTTTTATGTAATTTGAAATGATATAACTTCAACAGAGAGACGACAGATACAAGAGGAACATTCAAACTTATAAGTCGAAAATAAACTAACAACTCCGTGATAAAAAAACAATAGACAAACAATTGTACTCATACACAACATAACTAACTAAAAACTGAGCAACACGAACCTCACCAAAAATAGGGGGCGATCTATTGCGAACCGGAATATGGTAAGCAGATCCTGCTCCAAATGTGGCACCCGTCGTGTTGCTCATATTAGTACACATCCGGTGATTAGTCTAATTCGTAAGGTCACATTTTGGACAAAGGGATCGGATTGTAGTCATCTGTAAAACGGATATTCCATAACGGTAAACGAACTCGTGATGGCGTAGGTAAAACACGAAAGGATCATCTTGTTAGCACATACAAGCCCTGGGATATCGTATCAATTGGGAGATATATACTCCATCTGCGCTGCTGGAAAAAAGGCTGCATAAAATGGAAACTTCATAATTTAAAAGATAAATCATCTCTTAAAATATTCTTACTTGGGCATACATTTTTGATATAAAAAATGAAATACGCCACAGAGACCTAGATATCTGTATTAACAGTTTGAAGATGCTTAATTGATTCTACAAAATTGTTGAATCTAAGTAGATGCAGGAATCACAAACAACAAACAACACCACAAGAGGACTTGTTAAAAATACCTCAAATATCTCTTTCCTATTTTGATTCTGACTGACGGATGAGATTAAACTTAATCTGAACTACTTGAAAGCAGTTACCACAAATCTATACAGCGCGAGGAAAAGTGAAAATTTTCATTTTCCTTCAAAACGAAAAATAAAAAAACAATTAGTAAGTGTTGAAATCAATTTACCTGCTTAGGAGTCCCCGTCAGTGTACATTTAAACAAGTGTTGCTGGTCATGAAATATTTATACAAAAAATACACAAAGAAGAGTTGTATGTTTGCCAAGGATTTTAAATACCAAGATTAGAACAGTTTCTGAAAACTGATATTTATCATTAATAGTCATTTAAATTTAAACGATTATATTGTAATGATTGATTCCATGTGTACCTCTATAAATCATGATTTGTTTTAATAACTTACTGGAAAGTCCGAACAGTAATATTAAAAAGAAAAAGAAAAATACAAGAAGACCCTTTACGAAAATGATAACAAAATAAGTAAATTTCCCAAGGCTTAATAAAGTAAATACTTAATTCTATTTTTAGGGATATATTTCAGCTATTCAAACACATAACAATTGTTTCCTGCAGAGTGTCTTCCGTGCTTTGTATGAACAAACCAATGGATGCAGTTTTAACTCGACAGCAATTTGACTTGATTACCTGTAACTTTTGAATGGTCAAAGTTAATCTGCAACAGGTTTAAGGTCTGCGCCGACAAAAATCAAGTTAACTTGAAAAGCAGGCTATGCAGTGCGGGATTTGCTCATTGTTGAAGGCCATACGGTGACCTAAAGTTGTTAATTTCTGTGTCATTCGGTCTCTTGTGGAGAGTTATCTCATTGGCAATCATACCACATCTTTTATTTGTATTGGTTCAAAAACGTTCTTTGACTGCCAAAAAGGTTATCTTTACACAGGGCTACTGCTGAAGTTACATATCAGATATTTATGGTCTCAACCAAATGTTTTTGATGAAAATAGAAAAAGTAAGCATGCAATCTAAAAATAAGCGTTAAACATAGTTAAACGAACGGTACATTCTTTTGATGTATATTATCCGAGGACGCTGTACGATTTGTTTTAGAACAACATTGTGCAATTACAATATTAATTAAGGCATATTCATGATCAAAAACGTATCATTTAAACAATGATAGTACCAAAGCCTTGGCCACTAAATCAAAATATCATTGGGAGCTCATTGCAAAGAAGCTACCTACATGGACATGTGTAGTTGGTGTATACAGTATATATACCATTCAAAAGTCACATCAACGTACCCTCAAGAATAATGTAAGAAAATCAAAGACGTGAAAGGTTGCTTTTAAGGAATCAATGACAACCTGGAGCGACGCTGATCGAGGAACAGTATCATGAATATCTAATTAATTTTGTTTTTGACACTTTTACTTGTTATTTGTTCTTTTTAAAATTGCATCTGAGATGATAAACATATAAGTTTTTTAATCCACAACCATACATTTAGAAGAATTAAATTATCACATTGAAAACATGCACAAACAGCAGTCCATACGAAATAAAAAAAAGATTAACATGTCCAAATGCTCAATGACCAATGAAATAATAGACCAATCAGTATATTTGTATCTATGTTGAATTTGTTTAATGGGTTTTAATTTGTGCAGATGTAACAAATAAATGTCTTATCTAATCAGAAATGAATAAATAGATATATAGCCAACAATATATTCAGATTCAACAAGTACATTATGTCATTTTATAACGATTGGTTGAAAATAGATTTTAAGGACAATGACGAAGCTACTCTTTGTAAAATTTATGAAGGTTTGTATATGTTGCATAAACCATGAAATGCGGTTCGTGTTGCTAAGTGTTTATATTTCTATGTTTCGATTTGTAGACTGTAAATTGATTATTTTACAGTTTTTCTTCGATTTATTGGTTTGAATATTCCTTTGTTCTCTTCCACATCTCATTTCTAACTCCCTCCGGAAAATAGATGGTTCGATTATATTCAGGTCCCTATTGCTTTTCACCCAGTTCATTTCTAAGATTTTAGTTTAAAGCAACTATATGTACACTATTTATTTGTTTTACAGTTTGATTTAGAAATAATACCGAATACAATTAATTAGATAATTACTTACACAATTATATATTAATATTCTTGTAATTATTATAAAATACATCAAATGACATAGTTACAAACCTGATCTTGATCAGTATCAATTTTTTTTTAGATATTTACCTGTGACGTCACTTTTGTGGCGTTGACCCAGTCGTTTGAAAGATAGTTCGTGGTTCTGTTGTGCTGTTTTGTGTGCTGTCCTATGTTGTTTTACGTGTTTGTTTTTATTCTGTGGTTAGCATGTCGAAATGTACTATTGTATTGTTTATTTGTGTATTTTTCTGTCCTGAATGTTCTTGCATTTATTTGTACTATATTCCTGTCATGCAATGGTGTCATTTTAGTGTTATATTTAACATTGCCATAAACGTGCGAGGTTTGGCTAGCCACAAAACCATGTTCAACCCACCATTTTTTTCTTAAAATGTCCTGTACCAAGTCAGGAAAATGGCAATCGTTATCTTATAGTTCGTTTCTGTGTGTGTTGCATTGTCGTTTGTTTTTGTTCACTTCAGTGTTTCTGTTGTTTCGTTGTTTTCCTCTTATAGTTGATTGCTTTCCCTCGGTTTTAGTTTGTAACCCTGATTTGTTTTTGTTTCAATCGAATTATGACTTTCGAACAGGCGTATAATACTGTTGCCTTTATTTCACATGTATATAAATGTTTTTCATTCTGGACAGTCAAGCTGTTTGTTATGTGGGTTACTAACATCAATATAAGTAATTATTCGTTGGATACCAATTTTCGTTGGTTTCGTGGATATGGGTGATCCACGAATTCAAATGTTCAACGAATTACAAATTTTTGATAGGCTTTGTACACAGAAATCGGCAAAACCACAAAATCAAATATCCGCGAAAATGCAAGTTTGTCTCAATCCACGAAAATTGATACCCACGTAAATAAAGTGTAGAACGGGACATATTTTGTGCTTTTATATATTCATTTCAATAAGTTTTTGACAAACTTTGGCTTTCTACTGACAATTTTAACCACTATTTCGTATTTGCTATGTATCACATGACATTATCAACAAGGAATTTTTGAGGTAATAAGATCGATATTTTAAGATATTTTTTTTTGGAACTGTTTCGTTTCTTAAACATTCTTGGATTTCAAATATTCGGCTTTGAGCTTTGATGAAGGTTAATCAAGAAAGCCCTGCCGACGCATGCAAGTTATAAAGTATTTTTTTTTACCAAACATAGATTTGTAACAATACGTTATGTAACAAGTCAGGAATATGTCAAATAGTCCGTTTCTATGTATGTTGGCGTTTGTTTTTGTAGCAAATCAGTGTTTCTCATGTTTCTGTTATTCAGTTGTTTTCCTCATATAGTTGGTGTGTTTATCTCGGTTTTGGTTTGTGACCCGGATTTGATTTCGTTTATTGATTAAGGACTATTGAACAGCATTTTACTACTGTTGCCCATTATTTGTTAGAATTCAAGTTAAATTTTGTATATTGAATAAAAATGTTCATCTGTCTTGCTCTACATTTCACGTGTGCTGTCTGTTTACACACATCATACATAATTGAGTACTAAATCCATTGATACATATTGTATTTCAACCTTTTTTGTTTGACTTCCTGTACCAAATCAGGAATATGGCAGTTGTTATCAAATAGTGCGTTTCCATGTATGTCGGATTTTTTCTCTCAATCAATTAATGACTTTGAACACCGGTAAACTACTGTTCCCTTTATTCCGTAATACTGTCATGAAATATTTAAGTATATTATAGCCCGTTCAGTTTAAATTTAGGCTTTTATCATTGCCATTAAATCAATTATTTTCAATCTATTTTTTACTGGCGCTCAAATGAAAGAAAACTAAATTTCAATTTGAAATATGACTGATTGCAATATAACGGCAGATGTTTTTGAAATATGGATTTCATTTAAGAGCATTACCAAGCAAGTGTTTAAATGCTAGTGTAAATTTCGTCCCCGAGGATACTCACACGCGCATTTGTCGTCACTTTTAATTAGACATACTGTGATTCAGTTATTTTTGTTGATACAAATTCTAAAGAATTGAGAAAAGCTTCCATTTTCTTGGATATTCGATTTCGAGAATTGGTCAGAGCTGTACTTGGAGCCTTTATTAAATTGTACTTCACTGAACATTTGTATTCGTTGAAGACTTGTACTTATGAAATAAACAAACATAATATTGCCATGTAACTTTGTAAAGTTAGTGTTTATATAATATTGAAATAGTGGAAGTTTTCTTACTATAGGAAAAGATTGCTTAAACCGTATGCGTATTCAAGGTACTAATCATAACCTTTTGGAATTTATGGTGTTTAGTGCTTTTTAACTTCGCTTTGATTTAGCCTTCCATCTATTTAGATTCGAGAACCACTGATAAGTTTAAAACCTGGTTTCTATTTAATGAGTATTGATGGTAGGCTTTTAATTCGTTGTTTTATACTATGTGTTCTCTGTTTATCTTCGGCTTATATGAGTTTTCATTGTCCGTTTGGTATATATGTCTCAATTTCGGAAACAAAACACAAACGACATTGCTATAAACAGTACCAATGACGACAACTGTTTAAAAAAAAGCCGCAACAGTTTAATTCAGTGTTGATATTACGAGATTTATACTGAAATATAACATCGTTGCTTCATGCGGAGGACAATTATCATGTTTAGTTAAACAATCAATTTGTTAACCAAAAAGGCTTCTCAAATATTCTTGACAATTCAACAAATTCACTAATACATATATTAACGTGTCATATGAAATTCTAACTTCAAAACAAAAGCTAAAATACAAACTTGTCGTTGGAAATTTGTTATGCTACATAAGGATAGTATATAATGTATAGGATAAAAGAAAAACTGCTTTGCGAAGATTATGTTTTACACAGAGAAAACATTCCATTCATAAATAGAAATTAAACTTTCTTAAATAAACCGATCTAACTGGAAACTTGAAGTACGATTATAAGATAAGTTAAGATAAAATGTCACATTTTTAAATAATGTATTGTATACTGATTTTTAGAAAACTATAATTTACCAAGAAGGAAGTAGTTTGACCGACATTTTAATGTAATGGATTTAAAAACAACAGTTTAACC